CAATATTGACTCTTAATTGTTTAATTAATTTAATGTTATAATCATTAAAATGATATTAATCTAACGAAGTACCCTCATCTGTTAATGATGAAACAGCTATGAGAGAGGGAGATCAATCGGCTAGTGCCTCCCATACGTGCCCCAACTGGGGATCAAACCCACAGCCCACGTATGTGCATGACCAGAAATCAAACCTGCAACCCTTTGGTGTATGGGATGATGCTCTAACCAACTGAGCAACCCGGCCAGGGCTCTTCCCACTTCTTTTGGTAACACACTTAAATGGCACTGGGTTTTATTTTTATTATTTTGCTTTATATTTTCTCATTTAGTTCTTTTGGTTCCTGTTTATTTCAAGTGTGAATGATTTCTGCTGGGTATGATAATATTAATTCTGAAATACTCACTGTGGCTAGTACAGTACTGGAGCTATATAGTTATTCAATAATATAAGATAAAGTAAATCAAGCAATATCTAGTCAAAAAGACAACAGCTTACATTTATAGACGTTTTCTTCACAAAAGCTAAAAGTTCTAGTCAGAAATCATAGTCTCACATGCCCAGTACCTATATTATCTATCCTGAGGTGACCTGTCTCTTGTGTTGAGAAAGGATATCCAATTAAAATGAAAGAAATCTTTCAAGTAATTTTAGGATGCATAGAGACTTATTTGCCATATCCCAGAGGAATAAGCACTTATTTTCAACATTTAATCAATGTGTTGTTCCCTGTGTCCTAGAAAGTCCTTCTCTGATCATCTCTTCAAGAAAGCCTCTCAAGACTGCGTAAGAGTGAATTACATTCTTCTTTGGTTCACTCCGTGCCACTTTGAAGCTTGGATAATTGCCCTTTTAGAGCTGAAATATTTATATGCATTCACCTTATTATACTTATTATATCTTTGAGGGCAGGGAAACTACCTCATTCAATGTTTTTAGTACTCCTAGCTCTTGGTCTAGTGCCTGGCATGGTGTCTATCATGTACTAACAGCACAGGTGTGTAGTAATGTTTGTTGAACCTTATTTAAAACTCCTTCTTTCAGCACAGTGGTTAAGAGCATGGGCTCCGGTGCCAGGGAGCCTGGGTTTAAATTCTGGCCCAATTACTTGCAGTGGAACCTTGGACAAGTAACCTAATCCCTCTATGCCTCAGTTTCTTCAACTCCAAAATGGAAATAATAATAATAGCACTTCATAAATTTGTTGTGACTAAGGAGTGAAATTATACACACATACACGTATATAATTTAAGAGCACATGGAAAAACCTTGACATGTAAATCTATTATCAATTTTATTCAATTAGATACATGAATATTTACCATTCTATGATACTTATCATAGTTATCTTACACTTACAGGTAATTACAAGGGTGTATTTAGGGATGATTCATCACAGATTTGTGTGCCCTTCTTAGTAATGCCCTCATTTACAAGAGAGGAGGAGGTTACTGTTGCTGGGATATCATATCATCTGTCTGTGACTGAGGGACCAAATCCTCACAGCACATCATAAGCTAAAATCTCCTTCACATTCTAAAGTCTAGCCCTAAGTTCACCCAGAGCTTCACCAATTCCAATATATTCCTGAATCTGGAGCCTTTTCTTCAATTCCCCTTTCCTTCACTACCTCACTTTTCCATCTAATTCAGCAACTGTTTATTGAACAGGTTTGTGGCCATGTGCTTGACTACTTGAAGGCATTTACCAGTAGTAGCACTAGAGTCATTGTTTGGAAACTTTTCTGTTATATCACTCCCCTAGTTTCAAAAAAAAAAAAAAAATATATATATATATATATACACACACACACACATATACATATATATACACACATATATGTGTGTATATATATATGATTTCTACTTCCATTATGAGTAAAAAGTATGGTACAGGTGATTTTAAAATATTCATATTATTTATAATCAAAACAGTCTATAAGAATAAGTATATATATATATAATTAAAGAGCCTAGGACATTATATATATAATTGAAGAACATACTAAATGTTCTTCATAGCAAATGTGTGTGTGTGTGTGTGTGTGTGTGTGTGTGTGTAATATCTACTAGGCTCTTCAATTTGTTAAATACATTTTACTTGATTTCGAACAAATATACTCCTTTGAGCAAATCTGTGGCTATAAAAACAAAAAAAGAACAACAATGTGCTTAAAATCCTTCATTCTATAAAGAACTGGACTGGTTAAACTTTATTTCCAAGGGCTTCATTTTTCCCTGATTATGGCATGGGTACTGTAGTGGAGAGAGAATCTGTAACCTAGGGTGACAGAACTGGATCCCAAAGAGGCTCACTAATTGAAGCCCTTACATTAAACATCATGAAACATTTAAATTAAACATGATAGGTACATTCCCTTCCATAGAATACACAGCTTATATTAATGCATAAGTAATGTTGTTATTTTCCTCTGAATCTTTTATCAATTAACCTTATTAGAAAATGTCTTCTCTATGCTCTTGGAGGACATCCTGAAAAGCCTCGCCGGTTTGGAAGGAATCATTTTATTTCATAACAATGACATTTAAATAAACTAGTCTAGTGTGAATCAATACTAGGTAGTTTGCTTTTCTGGAATGATGGGCCTGGAGAAGACAGAGCTTAGGGAAAAAAAAAAAAGGATTCTAAGGGTTTGTAGCCATTAAAACTGTGGTGTTGCCGGAAGGAAGGGCTGAGCATTCAGATGTGTGGAAATACCGAGCACGTTTAAAGCGGGACATCCAAGAGGGGCTTTCCTAGGGCACGTTTGGACTAGGGCATATTTCCTGGGTGAGGAGGAATCCAAAAGTACAGATTTAATGATCATTTGCAGAAGCTGAAGCAATGAAAAATAAGATTTCTTACAATGAGAAATTCTAAATTTCAGTGAATCTTCAGAAGAAAGAAGAAATATAATCATTGATAGAGGGGGGAAATCACTTGAAGATAGAAAAAGGAGAAAAAGCAGGCCATGTACTGAAAAAAAGAACAGTGATAATTGTGGTTTGCTACCACTTGTCACTGACTTTAGAAAGATCAAGAAGAATAAAAACGGGTTATCAAATAAAAGGTAAAATTATGATGTAGAAAAACATAAAATTTTATATGTGGAAAGTTCATAGGAGGACATCAATCCAACCCACCTATTATATGAGCAAACTCATGTAATAATATAAAGGAAAAGAATCCTGGAAAGATAAAATCAAAGTTCACTCACTGAGTCACTTTGGAACAGGCTGTTTTGTTATTTTGGCTTTGTAATCTAATGTCCTCTCTACTCCCATACATTGCAACACAGTAGGATATTCCATGTAAGTACTGACAATACAACTTTTAGGAAGGCTGGTTTTGCAATTCAACAATAAACATAACCAGAATAAAATTTAAATTCATAAAACAAAAGGCCTGAGTGTTTCAATGACAATCCTTTGAACTTACTGTTGTGTTTCATTCTAAAAAACCATAATTCTACTCAACTAGTATCTAAGTATAGGAGAAAAAAAGTGGTGGGGGGAGAGAGAGAGAGAGAGAGAGAGAGAGAGAGAGAGAGAGAGAGAGAGACTGTAGAAAGTTGGAGGAAGAAGATAAGCCATCTCCTAAACCTGCAGCTCTCACACAAGGAAACATGGTTTCCTAAAACGACCGAAGAACATTTCCATTTCATATACATGATGAAGGATTTTGAAATCTGGTGGTAAAAGGTTTATCCACACCCAATACTGTAAAGCATCATCACATCAACACCAAAACCCAAGAAGTACCACCATTAAAAATAAAACAAAGAAAACAGAACAGTGAAAAATGCCTCCTACTCCCAAGGAAGAAACCTGACCCTAAGGAAGACAGCTCTCCATAATAAACATGTTGATCATCTTAGTGGGATGGTACGGAGGCAGATCTATCAGAGATGTTAGCTAATCTAGCCTTGTTCTAAACCTATGGTTTTCAGAAAGACAAACCTCTGTTTAGATGAATAGCTGTATGTACTAGTTCAGTTTTTGATGGCTCAAAATTTCCTGTCTCTAATTTATTTGTCAAATTTTCAGGTAGCATGCATCATTTTAAATAGGTACTTTCCAGGATGCCAAGTCAACTATAAAAAGGACTTCATGAAAGTTTTTTTGGTAAAAGTAAATTTTGCGACGAGACTTTTGCTGTTAAGAAACAAAAAATGGTACCAATGGTTATAACAGGAGAAACAGGTGCCGACAATGGGAATCAGTTTGATATTTCTCTTACCTTTCGTTTTCCACAGATAGTACTGAGCATAGTAATGAATTGCTAATATGTCTGACCAAATGTTATGTAATAATCTTAGGCAGTGTTTTATATTTTATAATACCAAAATAACCATCCTCCAGTTTGCCTTTTTTTTTCTAAATACCTTGAGGACATAAAGCTTTTAAGATTTATAAGCAGTAGAAAAATATTTGAAACTCAGATTTGTATTAAAACATTATTCTTTGCACAAATCCACTGACCCATTTTCCTAAAGTAAAAATAACTGTGGGGTTTTTACTTGCATTGAAAATTTAACAATTACAGTTCAATTTTTATATTCATACAGTGCCATAGAAACTATATTTCAAGTTGCACAACTGACCTTCTTTTCTATAACAAATATAGAGAGTGCCTAAATTATAAGTCGAGGAACATTTTGAAAAGGAGAATCCTGTTGCTTTTCTTGCACATAAGTCAATTTGGATCTTTAACACTTCTTTGCATTTCCTTGCGTATTTATAAACATGACTTTAATTTTTTTAACTTATAGGACAATATATGACTATATTACAGATTGACAATGATACCTTGTTAGATAGCTGTATAGAAACAAAATAAGCCCACACATGAACAGATTTCCAGAGACAGAAAAATAACCTTCCTTTGCAAAGAAGAAAAAATACACTCTACAAATCTCATCACAATCCACAGCACGAAGGTTCACTTTTGTCTCTCCAGCCAGACCTTGAGATGTTTAAGCTGAATTCACTTCACTCACCTGTTTGGCTTAGTTGGGACGTGCTTCTACTCCTTCGAGACACTATGGCGACCACTTTGGCACTCAGACTGGATCTCCGTTTCTTTCCACCTGCTCCAACTGTCCCCACAGCTGTGTCCGACTGGCTGCCGTCATTATGCTCCAGTGTGTACATCTCTCCACTCACACTGGTGCTCTTCGTGATGGCTCTTCCTGAAGTCCCCATCCGTCTGCCTTGCATTTTAGGGGTAAATGAACTATATTTACAAAGTAAAAACATATACGCATTCATAAATTACAGGTCAGCATAACTGAAATTCTAAATCTAATTTATTTTAAAATAATCCAGGCAAATTTTTAGGGGAAAAGCAAGATGAGTAGTACTTCTACAGTTATACATACTTTGAGATGACAACACCACCCCCAAATATTTACTAGATATAGTTGAAAACAATGTAACCGAGGAAGCTATACACTTTTAAAAAGATAGTACAAAGAAATGCAACCAATGCTCTCTGTTAGGTAAATGCTACTGACCAATTTTGTAAATAGTTCCTATGTTACTTTCTGAAAAACTAAAATAGTTAAATCAATGAGACATGTTTTTATACATTCATGAGGAAAAATTTTTGTTAAAAATGGACACTAAATTTGCCACATTACAAGGTTTAAACAATGCAGTATCTATTCTCCTTTGGGATTCTAAAGAACAGACATATATTTCTGATCCCTTTCCTTCCTTGTCCCTGACGCTCCCTCTCCTCCAAATAAACGTTATCTCATTTTCCGATTTCAGCCCTTCAAATTCACATGCTCTAGGCTGAGACTTTTCTTTATAATGTTCTTTTCTATCAAAACTTAATTGTCTATGTTTCCAGATTGTACTAGTTTATCTGAATTATATTACTGTTCTTTTCTCCCAAATGCATAAACTACAGTTGATAATTTCAAGAACCATGGAAGGTCAGTGGGAAAAACAAACAAACAAACAAAAAATGCTCTCTGCTTGCCAAAGTTAATGTCTGTCTGTGAGTTAGAGACAGGTAGAGAAGGGAGTGGGGAGCCAAGGATATCAGCATTCTTTGAACCTTTTTGAATTAACATTGCACATGCAGCCATATTATACATCTAGCTAGGCCGTCTTTGGTTCAATAAAGGCCTGGCTAGACATATCTGAAATGACCCTCTTAATTTTATGTTCCTTTGACATATTTGCAAAAATTGGCTTACATGACCCTTGCTACCAAATCAATCTTCTATTTCTTAACCTGATCTACAGAATACATGATCTAATGTAGCATATTTTAACAGTAATCTTACTCAATAGAGAAGTCAAAATAAATCCTAATGTGATTAGAACTGATAAAACAGAGTTTTATCTTGGGATCATGTAACATATTGTGGTCACATATATAATGAGTGTTTAAGCAGAAAGGGAAATTGGTGTGTGGTGAGTTCAGAAAGGCAGGTAGGTGATACTATTGTGAAATTTTGTACAATGTTCTTTAGGTTATAGAAAAGTTTAAAAGTATAGAAGAATGAATGTCTCCTATAACATGTCTATCATGAAAATTTATTCAAGATATGGTGGGACGATTTAAATAATTTTGTATGGCTATTTAATCACAGCAATGACCTGTTCTCCATTGTTGACATGTAAAAATTCTGAAAGAAGTTAAAGGAAATCTCTATATAGTAAGTGATTACCATTTTGAGAGGGGCTGAATTAAGACGTTGTGTTAAAAATGATTTTGTGAATAAATATGAAATAGTTTTTCCTCAAAAAATAAAATATTTTGTTTAAAAGCATTCTGATATGATCCAAGGACTGTGCATAGTTTCCTAAAAAACCTAGAATACCATACGTTCAAGGAGAACATGTTAGTCATTTTCAATTCTTCTGTCTACCTGACTGAGGGGAGATGGTCAGGGGGTCTTATTAGTCAGATTAATTTAACCAATGAGAAGGTCACTGTTTTAGCACAAATGTGCTTTCTATTCCCCTATTTCTTAAACTTTTATTTGCTCAGCTTCCATTGCCTGGAGAAGTACTCCTGTCATTTAGGTGTGCCGCAGCAGCCCTTTGAGATGCTTTGTAAACCTTTTCAGAGTCTTTCCAGTATGACTGCTGTCTCCCAGCCCTTTGTTTTTCATTTTGTACTGGTTATATGAAGACTCTGGTACTTTATGTCAGCATGTACCTTATGCATCACTAAATTTATTACAGCACCCTTATCGCTGCTGAGAGAACTGACGATGGACAGGACATGGACAACAAAGCTGGGGACAAGGCAGGGAGGGAGAGGGAGGTGGGAATCAGTGGGGGGAAAAGGAGAAACACCTGTAACAAAAATAAATAAAGTAATTAATTAATTTAAAAATCAAACAAATATCTCATCTTTCTTCTTTGATACCTCTTCTCGCCCTGGCCAGTTTGGCTCAGCGGTTAGAGCGTCGGCCTGTGGTCCGGAGAGACCCGGGTTTGGTTCCCGCTAAGGGCACGTACTTCGGTTGCAGTTTGTCCCCGGCCCTGGTTGGTCGTGCGGGTGGCAGCCACTCGATGTGTCCCTTCACGTCGATGTTTCTCTCTCTCTCTCCCTTCCTCTCTCTCCCTCCCACTCTATCTGTACCAAAATGGAAAAATATCCTCGGGTGAGGATAAAAAAATAAAAAATAAAAAATAAAAAAGATACCTCTTCTCCTTCTGGCTACTGACTTTTTGCAGAAGAATTTCCTCAAGGAGCTGTCTGTATGTTGTCTCTTCCAACCTTCCTCTGAACTGATCTGAATCAGGCTTTTTCCTACCATTTCAACTGCCTCTTACAAAGTCATCAATGACACCACCTAGCAAAATCCTATTGTTTCTTAGTCCCTATCCTTTTGACCTCTCAATACACTGTGTATTTGACAAAGTATTTGATTCTTTTGGTCTTAAAATATGTTATTTGTGGACTTAGTGTGTCACTGAAAGGACCTTTATCCTCGTTAGTGACTAAATACTGGAGTTCTTCAGCCCTTTGACCATATTCTTCCATGTGAGACTAACTCTCTACACGTCTCCTCTAGTCCTAAGCTTTACGTGCTATGTGCGGCCAGTTCCAACTGTTTTTCTGCACCTCTTGTACTCAGCCCTGAACTCCAGATCCATATACCTAGCTGCCAACTGACAGCCCTGAACTCAAAAATAATGAGTTCAGCCCAAACAAAAAATTGTCCCTCTCTAGTCTTCCACACCACACTAACGACACCCCCTCATCCAAAGGCTCAGAATAATAATTACCTGCATTTAGTTAAGAAAAAAATTTTCTAAACTTAGAAGTAAGACCAAAAAACACACAAAACAAAACATGTTGTCTTACCTTTTAATGCCATGCCTCAGCATTATTTAACAAGCCTACCTAAGAGTTATTTGACTCTCTAGGGGAATGTAACATTTTTTATTTACTCTTCTAATAATAATGGTCCAAATATTTTACAACTCTGTAAAGTTAGATGCTAACTAGCATAAAATGGACAAAGAACAAATGATTACTATTAGAGAGAATCACGACAAAGGTTAAGGACCTAGAGAACATAATTCCGTGAATCTAACTCAATAATATGATTCCTTCAGCATTCCTCCCCTCCAAGGACTATATACGTATGTGGACAAAGACATGAGTTTCCTGGATCTTCTTTGAAACCACTTTGTCTTCTTGTTGGTTTTCTCTCTAGTGAGTAAAACTTCAGCATGTGCTAACTATTTTTCTTATAATTACGCTTTAATTTTGAGAATTATGTATTGATAATGTTGTAGGTCCCATCAAAATGCCCACATGGAATCCCTGCGGAAGCCAATCCAATGGTACTGCCCAGGCAGACCACGGACCCTGCGCTGCCTTTTCCTGGCTGCCAAATCGATTATCAATGCTGATAGAACGTGTTTCTGTGTTTGCTTTTTATTTTTTATAAAATTTTTTGATTAAACATTTTTAATATTGACACTATTGAAAATGCTCCCCTCCCTTTTTTTGCCTAGCTCCACCACTTCCCCCTCCCCTCCCTTGGCCTTCACCACTCTACTGTCTCTGTCCACAGGTACTTTAGCTAATCTCTTCACATTCTTTATCTGACTCTAGTTTTCTATGTTTGTTTGTTTCCATTTTGGTAAAATTGGCTCTTGCTTTGCTTGTGATAATAATACATTCCTCACTAGTAGCAGCAATGACAGGGAATCTCTGCAGATAAAATCTATTGGGGGGCAGGCAGCAGGGATGTATTGAAAGTTGGGCGGCAGATGACAGAATATCTCTAGTTGTTAGTCTTTATGTGTGTCGGTGTCCTACCAAATGCTCACATCACTCAAAAAAATGTCCCGTGCACACTGAAAGAAGAACCTCCCTTTGAAGTCTGGGCTCAGGTTTTTGTCTTAATGTTGGTCCCATGGCTGAGTTGTAAAACCGAAGATACCAGTTCTCTTTGCAGGTTTAAAAATAATCTTTTCAGTTAGTGATAAAAATGTCTTACTTTCTGTGCAGATAGAAATTAAATTCTAAGGTATCTTAAATTTAATAGAGCTCTTGTTCTGATTGATCTATACAGATAAACAAGTACTTACTGAATTTCAATACAGAAAACAAATTCCCAGAGAAAAAAGAAACTGAAGAATTTTAATATCAGAATCTAAACCTACAATCAAAGTGAATTCTTGGAAATATCAAACTAGTTTGACACATTTGGCTTCAAAACAGGTTTATGAAAACCATAATGAGAAGCAATTTCACACATAGTAGGATAGCTATAAAAAGAGAATAATAAGTGTTGATGAAAACCTAGTGAAATTGAAACCCTCATACATTGCTGGTGGGAATCTAAAATTATGCAACCAATTTGGAAAGCAATTTGTCAATTTAGTTAAACATAGTTTAAATAAGCCTGGAATTACCATGACTCGGTAATTCCATTAAAAACTTAAATATAGAGTTAACATATGACCCAGCAACTCCATTCCTAGGTACATATTCCAGAAAACTGAAAACATATCCATACACTCACATATGACTAGTTAACATTATTAAAACTAGTTAAAAAGAGGAAACAACAAAAATGCTCATCAAGATAAATAGAGAAACAAAATGTGTCATATCCACACAATGGAATATTATCAACCATAAAAATGGATGAACATAGATGAAGTTGGAAACATTATACTATATGAAAGATAACAGATACAAAATGCTCCATATTATGTAATTCCATTGAAATAAAATGTCCCAAAGTCAAATCCATAGAGACAATGTATATTTGTGGTTGCCAGGGGCTAGAGGACCGGAAATGGGGAATGACTGCTACTGGGTATGGGTTTCTTTTAGGGGAAGGTAAAACTGTTCTGGAATTAGACAGTTGTGATGGTTGCACAACTAATTGCAAATATGCCTAAAACCACAAAATTGTATAATTTCACATACTGAATTGTATGATATGTAAATTACATCTCAGATATAAGGCAAAGAGAGTAAAACACAGAGTTTGAGTGCATGAGCACTGAATTCAAAAGATGTATTCCACAGTTTATCATTTAAGGAGGTGGTTATCTCCTAGTTTCATCATAAAGTTTGTAGTCTCATTCTCATGAAATGTGGGTAGTTTTCACTTGGTAATTAAAGAGGAATAAAAATATCTGTTCTTTATAATCTTCAGTCAGTGATCATAAATTCTACTTAGAAAGTAAAATTAATGACTTGACTCATTTGAACATGCTTTCTCGATGGGAGTGATATGCTCCCAAAGGGTGTTAACTTGTTCTTGGTGGAGGTAGGAGAGGTAAAAAGATCTTAGATAATACAACAGCTTGTAGTCCTCAAACAGCCACAGTATATACAGTGTATCTGTGATATTAAAATGTCATGTAGAGAGGTCAGTTTGGAAAAGAATATCTGAAAAGTAAAATGATTGAGAAACAACGCATTTGAAGGAGGATTGGGGGAAAGTTAAAAATTGTAATGGCTTCTAGTTTTTTGATTTGAGAACTATGTGAATAATGGGGTGGGAAAATATAATTACTCTGTTCAAATACTAAATAAGCCAATATTTTAAATATTTGTTCTATGAAATGTTTTAGGGATGAAATGACTATAAATGGTCAGTTAAATATACATATATCATCTATATCTATATTTATATCTATATCTATATCATCTATATCTATATCTATCTATATCTATATCTCCTCATATATTTCCAGTGTATTCTAAATGCAATTAAATATATGTATACATGCAAACACACACAACATACAACAAAAGCTGGTGCACAATATTCAGTGAAAACCAAAACATTAGAATCTAATCTCTCATATTTATGAACCATAAAACCGTATAAATGAATCATAAATGGTAAAGTCACAAAACTGAAGATGGATACACACAAATGATTTCTTGATATATCTGCTGTTCTGGTTTACAAAGGAACAAAGAAGACAACTAATTATTTTGGATGATTTAGATAACTTAGAAAATATTTCCACTATTTAGAGGACACTGGTATACATGACCTCTCAAGAATCCATCAAGGTCTCTGTTTTCTTGATTCTCCGTTCTGGATATGTAGTATGTATTCAATTAGAAAATTTTAATTAATACACACTTGATTATTGTGTCTATGTTTAAGATGACTAGTTGAAATTTTCTGAAACGGCACTCAAGAATAGTATATATATATGTCCCTATAAAAAAAAAAAAAAAAAAGCATTCTAGAATGAAATAACTTTGGTATATATTGGAATAAACAAAGATGAACCTTAAAAACAATAATGTGTACTGTGAATCACTAACAGGAAAATGCAGTAGGCAGTGTTTGGAAAACATTCTATACATTATATAGGTCTACACATTATATAGAAGGCTGCACACTGTTCATTTCAGATGAGCTTATCTCAAAACTTTCTTAGTTCATAATACACTTGGGATTTTAAGCACCTATATACTATGATTTTATATAACATGAGTCATATGGGTTCTTTCTATAGTCTTGGTTGACATTTTAGGGTACTGAACATTGTCTTTGGTGAATTCTATAATGTCTTCTAAATCCTTTTCTGCTGTCCAGAATAAAATTCACCCAAGGCAATGTTCAATAAAACATTTCTTGTGTCATAGGATGATTTGAACAAAGACATAGAGGGAACCAGAATATAAAAATACATTTTAAACTTTTAAATAGATTATAATTTCCTTGAGTATGTGGCCTAGATATTATATTTTAATGTAGTCTTGGCAAATAATGAAGTCCTTACCTATCACAGAAACTCAAAAGTTTCCTGCTACTTACTATGATATATAAATATATTCTATCATAATTGATCAGACTTCTTCATCTCTTAACCATGAACAGAATTTAAAAACCTATGTAGATGTTATTTACTAAAAAGACGAGAAGAAATGTTGAGAAGCAGTGATACACTGAGAACCACTGTTCCTCACAGCATTAGCTATGGGACAGGAACCTCTGAGGGCCAAAGGGCCCGCGACCCTCACTGCAGCTCAGTGAGACACAGTATGTTCACAGTGATGTCACTTTGTTCTCTTTGTTTTGTCCTTTTTCCTGTTCATCCCAAACCTCTCAAATTTTTTTTTTTTTTTTTTTTTTTTATCCTCACCCGAGGATATTTTTCCATTTTTTGTACAGATAGAGTGGGAGGGAGAGAGAGGAAGGGAGAGAGAGAGAGAAACATCGACGTGAAGGGACACATCGAGTGGCTGCCACCCGCACGACCAACCAGGGCCGGGGACAAACTGCAACCGAAGTACGTGCCCTTAGCGGGAACCGAACCCGGGTCTCTCCGGACCGCAGGCCGACGCTCTAACCGCTGAGCCAAACTGGCCAGGGCCCAAACCTCTCAGATTTTTAACGACATGGTTGATGGTGGATGTGTGTGTGTTTGTGTGTGGGGGTGCCTGTGAAGATATTTTAAGAAGAATGTATGTGAAAAGATAACTTGATTCTGATCTGCTCTTCCCACATCTCACTCCTTCCTCTCTATTCTTCCTAAGTATTCTAAGAATCAAATATGTACCACATATGGAAAATCGCTGACCTCAAGCAACAAGGTTACTAAAGTAACAAGAAAAACATTTTGTTAGCTTAAGGGGAAACCTGTTCAGCCATTAGTTTTAGTGCCTAACGTACATAAAGACAACTCTCAGCTCTTATGGGTTCTCAACTACAGAGAAGAAAAGGGGAGCTGAATGAAATGCCCTGAGAAAATAATGTTTTCACCAAGAAACATCTGTACCATTTTTAGGTCTATCCCTCTCTCCCACCATCTTTACTATATGAGAAAAGTCATGTGAATCAAGGAAACAAAGAATCCTCTATCTTTTGCTTCTTATCGTGGTATAATCACAATTAGTGTTGATCTGTTAAAGGGCATTTTCCCACCAGGTAACATTGACTGCAATGTGCTAACACTTTGTTTCTTCCGATCCACTTTGTATGAAATCCTTGTCCATAGTTGTTGAGCTGTCTAATGTTTCTCTCTTCTTTGATTTTTTTTCTCTCTCAAAAAATCACGTAGTCAAATTTTTCCCAAAGATAAAAATTTGAAAAATCCTCTTCTCTTAAGAGAATGACAATGGACCCACAAAGTATTACAATTGGTTAGTAAAATGAATTCTATGAACTAGTAATAGTTTATGGTATAAAACTCAAGGTACTTGGCTTTATTATGAAAATAAAAATTACCTCAAGATGTATTGTTTACTAATTATTTTAGTAAATTGTTTTTAGTGATTAAAAGTGAAAAAGTCATGTTTAAACCCTACTTACTGATATTCTTGCTAAATATTATACAATAACATATAAGTATTTCAATAAAAAGGAATCTATTAGAATAATGTTCACCCTTGATCCTAAGCAACTCAAATCAACATGCTTCTTTCTTTAGCTCTTTTAATTTTCTTAAATTTTAGAGACTTTATTCTATTAAGAACAGATGCTTAAAACATCAGAAGTAAAGATAAAATATGTTCTATTAATATTTTTGTTAGTTGAAATTGCTCATGTAGATTATCAGAGTATGACATTGTTAACTAACAATAAGGTAATTACTCTCACTTCTCTTCAACAGATGAGCTCACTACAAGGAAATCCAGGAAAAAAAAAAACTTTGGATACATCTCATTGCACATAATGAAAATGTGTGATAATATCAGACTCTAAGAGTATCAAGGATGCAATTGATTCTATTTTGAACATTTATATTTCTTGGGGTTTTCATTAAACCCAAAATTCTATTAATGAAACTTCTGTTTCTATAAACTAGCTAAGAACAAATATAAAATATGACTTGCCCATACTGAGACTGCTTTATTGAATTAAGGTGGCACTTGGACTCCTGAGGTCTTTTCCCTTTCGGCAGGGTAGCTGGCCTTGTAAGAACACAAAAGCACTATTGGTGATTTAAACAACATGTAGATTTCTTACAGCTCACATAATGTAAACTGGGGTGTGCATTTTGTTACCATATCCACTCGATCCTACCTTGAAAGCTGACCAATCACAAACTACAGCCCATGGAGAAAATGCAGCCAGCTTCCTAGTTTTTGGCTTTTTCTTTTTTTGGTAAATAAACATTTTCAGAACATAGCCACAGCTCATTTGTTACATAGCTTTCACACTATAATGCTATTGCTGGTATATGTGACAGACAGTGTTCTGCATAGCCTGAAATATTTACTATCTGTCTCTTTACAGAAGAAGCTTTCTGACATGGGACTAACGGATGCTCTGCAGACTTTATCATATCAGAAAGAAATTCCTGCAAATGTGACTGAGCAATCTCTAAGATTATTTTATGGCTATAGTTATCAGCTATACCTTTCAGAAGATCATATCAAACTGTCAATTGGTGATACTACTCAATAGTTAGTAAATATTCTACCCATTCCACAACTGGTTATTTTAATGAACTGTTAGTGTTTCTGTTTTCTGTTCCTTGACCTAGACTATTTAGCAACTTGGTTGCATTTCTGCAGCATGGGCGAAGACCCCGTCTGTATAAACAGTAATGCCAACTCACCTGATTCTACCCCTGGGGCGCTCAGACTGCTCTGACATGAAGCTCGTGCTGCTGAGGCGCGAGGCACTGCTGGTCCTGGAAATGGCGGACACATCACTGACATCACTATCTGATGATCTGGCAGAGACGTTATCACAGCTTCTGCACTGATCTTTATGTATGTTATACTAAAGATTAAAAACAAGAAAGTGTGAGCGCCAACATCAGACCGTGGGAATAAGAGACATACATGGCGAGGAGAACGACGGCTTAGCCAACACCAGACACAAGTGCACCTTCCTAGACGCAGGTGTGGAATCTAAACCAGTCTAAACACTCATGTAACGCATGATCCCCACTGTGAAACTCCTACAACCTTTGAGTGGTAAGAAATGTTTCTGGAGACTGAATCATAAATTAAACACAAAAATTAAAATTAGGTGGAAAACTCACTGAATTACTTATACATTAAATCTCAAAATTGTATTATTTCTTCTAGTACATCAGTGTCTGTTTTCTTGCTTTTTTTTTCATAATTGCCTATTTTATTCATTTTCTACTCTATCCATGGTGTAGACTGCTTCTATCTGTCTGTGTTTATTTGTTCTTTCTAAAACTATTCAGCTTACCTACATTTCTCCCTATTCTATGCCATAGCACTTTCAAATTTCTTCAAAAAAGAAAATCTCTTTACAGAAAAATGGTTGACACTGACTCTGAGGGGCTATGCCAAAGAGGAGTAAAGCCACGCTTTAAACTTTCTGTTATGGTTTAATTAGACATTTTCAGATTTAAACTACCAACCCAGTGTTTAAAGTTAAGAAAAGGATTCCTATAAAAACTTCATATACACTACAGCTTGTATTTAGATTTGTCGTTGGCATTCATCCTAAGATTTCAGAATCATTAGGTAAAAGGTTAAAACCTGCAACGCTGTCAAAACAGTGAATCTACTCTTCTTTCCACATCACTGTCTCATTGTAACTGATCACACACTGAATAGCTTCATATATTATTTTAATATGTTTTAATTATAAATATAGCGAGCTTATATAATTACATTTAATTTTACAATATCTAATATATAAGTGATTCTCTTATCTTAGGTACTGAAAGGAAAAGATAACTTCATACATAAAATAAAAGATCACAGGTGAAATAAGCAAATGACTAAACACTGAATATTAAGTTTCTTATCAAGCGATTGAATTTTAGATTTATGTGTTAAGGAGTGAAAATACAAAATGTTTGTTAAGCCTTTGGAAAAAATTCATCCATCCTCTGATGCTCCATATTAGATGTTTTTTAATGAATCTAAAGTACTTCAAACACTGTATTTCTAAAAATTTATATAAACAATTGTCTTGCTAAAGTGTATAAAATAAACTGATGCTAAGACCTGGATCTGAACATACATACAAAAAGAAGTATAATACAATATTTAAAAAATATCCTAGAGAAGGGAATCATATTTATTTAACATGACTTAACATCAGATGAGAATAGTTCAAGCCTCAAGTGTTTTAATGTTAGTTTTAATTCTTCATCTCTCATGTGTATGTAATGGGCATGAAAACCATACCACATTTATAAAATAAAATGATCTTTCCAAAGATTTTTCCATAACTGTGTGATTTGTTTGAAAGCCATATGCATGAGCCAAAACAAAATTCATATATATTATATACAGAATTGAGCTACTTATACTTCATGTATGATTTGAAAGTCATATGATTTAATATAATATATTCAAAGTAATGTGATAAGGTTAATCACCAAATTCTGTCATATCTATAGCATGATCCTGACTGACATGATTCATCTCAGTCAAGACTGTTCTTTATTTACAGAATATATGTGATAAAACCTTAATATGCTCTCATAGTAGAACCTGAATTTAATACTTTTACTGGAGTACAAATATAACTCATCTTATTTGCTTTTGAAACTATTTTGCTAAGTAGATATATTACACAATTATTATAATGTTTCCAAACATATTGAAATAATAGCTTGTCCATGACAGAGTACAGAAACTGGGTTCTGATACCATAAAAATCTACCCAGAAGTGGCAAATTTTCTGGTGTGTTGACAACCTGAACAAATGCTCCCTTTCCCTGACAAGTGTCAAAGATAGCACAAGGATATGAGTGTACATGGAACCATTTATCCAGCTAAAGGACTTTTCCTTTTCTATAAGCCATCTCTTCCTTAACCTTTTTGTATATAACTTCTGATATTCCAGCAAAGAGACAAAACAAGGGATTTTTAAAAGGCTGTAGGTCATATTAAATTTTTCTCTATAGGAGTAAAGATTGAGCTGTCATTCTGAAATGAGATCAGTTTTCTTTACATTAGTTATATGAAGGAAATCATACACTTTTATATTCATTTTTTACTCTATGTACTTATTTTCAAAGCCTGTTAAAAGTTTAAATAATAACATGGTCTTTTTATCAAGTATAATTTGTTCAATTTCCTATTTAACAATTAAATATTGTAATGGAAATACATTAATTATATTTTGAGAAACATAGTATCCTCAGGTGGAATGTATACTGATCATACAGCCAGGAAATAAGTCCTTCATGTAGGAGGGACTCTAATTATAGGGCTGCTATTTTTATAAGTAATAATAAACATTCAGCAGCTACCTACAATGCTCATCTCATCAATCTTGGTTGCTGTTTCTGGTTTACAGAATCATACGCACTTTTTAAAAATGTGAGTTCCTAAATGCAAACTCACCCTCCAGTTATGAATTTCAACCCATCATTAAGGCACGCAACTCTGTACAACATCAATGAAAAAATAGCATGGTGTCACATTTCAGGGATACCAAAGTAGTTTTGCGTGTTTTTTCAAAAGCAAAGTTGGTGCTGATTCCTTGCTCAGGATGGATGTTAGGGTCAGTCAGTCTTTTAAAGGAGGTGCCAGGTTTGAAATACCTAAGGAATATTTGTCTGGTAATTCTTGACTCTGAAAAAATGTAGTTCTACTGGTGTTTAGCTATAAATATTTTGAGAATTAAGTAATTTCCAATTTGGCAGAATTTCAACTAAGGTGTATTGCTTCTTCCAAAATGTCAAATGGTTTAAGTTGCTAAAGAAAAAAAAAAAAAAAGTAAAGGAATAAGGTTAAAAAATAAGGGTATATTAAATTTACAATAATGCATGTTCTTATTTATATGAATAAACATGTTTTTATAGAGTAAATTATAAAAAGGTTGGGATAAGGGGATAAAAAATAAAGAATATAATTTCTCAAGTATATGAGAGAGATTTGAAGTAACTGGAAACTAAAAATTTTATTGCAAGCATTAGGCTATAATATGAGTATTAGAATTGTGAAGAGTATTTATCTTTTATTTGATATATAAAATAAAAATCTAATAATTTGTTAATATATCTTATATATTTTTACTATCCTATATTATTATAAGGTTTTTAAAGATAGCATATCTTTGATTTCACATTTCTTGATATAACTTACACTCATTCTATTTATGTAACAGTATAGTATCAATTTCTGCAGTAAGTAAGAGCAACAGTAATATGTTTCAAAGTAATGTTTTTTAAAATAGTAAAATGAGAGGGGAGGAAAGGATGCCGTGTAAAAGAGGGGGAGAAAAGAGAGTATAATAATTGAATTGCATGAGAACTAAAAGCCACAGTAGGGCCGCTGAATAAAACTGGCGTACAGTGTACATTCCAATGATGTAGAAGCAGAGCAAAGGGGCGCCTCAGTTCCAGTTGGGAGTTCTAGGGCTCTTCACTACAGAAAGGCTTTACTGACTTTGGTATTGCCTCCTTTCTTCCGAACCCCAAGTTTTATAAGTAAAACTTGGTAAATAAAAGAGCAGAAACAGAAAATTTATTCTGAAGTATTTTTAAGGTCTAAATTTCTTTGACAGACAACTTGGAATCTTCCAAGCAAGACAAACGTACATCTGATTTATTACAAATATAAGTGTTAGTCGTCGTTTGGACTTCTAGGGAACTTCACTTTGCAGATTTTTTTGATCAACTGATTAATATTAGAGTCCTAGTACAGAATGATTTAGAAAGGCCTTTGATATTTTACCCTGATTCTGTATTTACCTCTTTCTTGCTTCCTATACTGGCCCCACCTCCCCCTGCTGTTGTATTTGACCTCATCCTTTAACAATGCTAAGAAACTGGTAAAACATTTCCAGGTTTAATGAAGCATTTCTAGTTTAAAGGACATTTCCAAATAACTGCTACTGATTGTGGAGGAAGAAAGCCTAAATTACCCTGCCTTCTAATTCTTACTGTATTTGTAGTAAAAGAAAACAAAAATGATAATGGTATCCATAAAGCAGACGGACAAATAAGCTAAGTGATGATACCATAAAGTTAAACCACAAAGAAGATATGGGGAGCTGGAATCTGAAACTCTATAAAACATCAAGATATTTTCCTTACTGATTCGCTTTATTAATTTTACTTTGTCAAATGTTGTTTCAGAGCCCTAGGAAACTGGGTCACGCTGAATCCCAGTGATCAGAAGCATTGCATCAGTTGGAAATCCCTCTGCATCTAACCTAAAATGTCAAATGACACACTACATCTAATACACATGACTCTGTGGTAGTCTGGTGACAAATCATATTAGGTAACCACCTCCAGTTTTTGCATTAGTCTCTGATTATCTGGTTATATAATGAGCAACCACCACTATTTAAAAGTAAGTTGTTTTTTTCACCCTTTCTCCCACCCTTGTTCTCCCTGGCAATCATTGGTTTATTCTCTACATCTATAAATCTGTTTCTGTTTTGTTTGTTCATTTTTTTGTTCATTTTTTTTTTTTACATATAAGTGAAACCATATGGTATTCTTTCTTCTATGAAATCTGACTTTCAGTTAGCACAATACCCTCTAAGTCCACTCATGTTGTTGCAAATGACAAGATTTATTTCTTTTTGGTGGTTAAGTAATATTCTATTACATACCACATCTTCTTTATCTATTCATCTATTAATGAAAACCTGGGGTGCTTTTATATCTTGCCTATTGTAAATAATGCTGCAATAATAATAGGAGTACATACAGATTTGGGGAGAATATAGTCAATAATATCCTAATAACTTTGTATGATGTCAGATGGTTACTCGACTTATTGTGGTGATCACTTTGTTAGATCTTTAAATGTTGAATAACTGTTGCACACATGAAAGTAATATAATATTGTATGCTAACTATATTTTAATAAGCATAAGTAGATTTTTCTAGGTTCATATTTCAGATTAACAATATTCGTTTAGTATAGTTTTATTTGATTTTTAATTTCTAAAAGGTCATTACTTCCAAAAGGGGTTTTTGATGTAAAATTATAACACAGATTTTCCTGTAATGGCTGCTGCCACTTTTGTAGTATTCTAAAAAAAAAAGATTTTTAAATAAACCATATTATACATACAAGTTGTGTCATGAAGTATAAAATTCTATGCATGTATTAAATAAAATTATTAGATGATGGTTAGTAGTTTATAAACAATGTATTCTTACAAGATAACACTGAAGTATAAATTACATGTTTATCGGCACATGGATTTGTATGAATTTCAGTTTCTAAGAATTTAAAATCAAGTTACTTATGTTACTAGAGGCAGATCAATACGAAATCTCACATCACACAAGTTTAGTATTGGATACAAACAGTAACAGTAAATATCAACCAAAAATGGTATTTAAGACTCTTAATCTGTAACTTAATATTTAAATGCAACATTAAATGATATTCAAGCAATAAAATGTTTTTATCTATCTTGCTTATTTATGTGATTCTGACTATGGATAATAGATCATTAAATTACTTTGTTTCTTTTTAAATTTTTAATAAATTTATTGGGGTAACATTGGTTAATAAAATTACAAAGGTTTCAAGTGTACAATTCTATAATATATCATCTGTATATTGTATTTTGTGTTCACCACCCAAAGTCAAGTCTCCTTCCAACACCATTTTTCCCCCCTTTACCTTCTTCTACCTCCCCCGACTCTCCCTTTCCCTCTGGTAATCACCGCATTGTCTGTGACTTTAATATCAAGTGTTTATATTTCATTTTCAGAAGAAACATTAAATCCAAGTTAATAAATTTATATCTTGTGGAAACAGCAATAGGAAAGAGGTTATGATGAAAGACTAGCATTGGAATAGCTTCTTTCATATAGCTTGGTGCTTGCTAGTCCTACCTGGTACACATACTATACATTTATAAAAGGGAGGCTGTGGGTTGGGTACTACTAGTTTTACCTTGGAATATTGCTCGCGATCAAGTTCTTGACTAGAACCAGACCCTGTTGTCTGCTTAAATCGATGCACTTTCATTTTCATCTGTCTTGTTCGCTCCTCCACTACTAAGCTTGCTGCAAAAACACACAATGGAAGCCTATTAAAACATGTGAAGCACCTTTTAGAAATGGAATGGTTTAAAATTTTAATGCTTTTGATACGACTTCAATTAAATGAAGTTTAAAAATAACACATGATTCATAACTTAAACAAAATGCAGAATATACAATGCCAGCAACTGTTAATCTAAAGATGAACATGATAGCTCACACAGAATGGGGAACAAAAATAGTAGTAACACAATACCCTATTTCTTCATCTGACATGAAATATTTTCAATTCCATTCACAAATGATTATGTGAAACAAAATCTCATTGTGAAAACAGGTTTTATATTTAGTCAGCTGGTTGTTACATGTACATATACAGAGAAAACAAATATGCATACTGAACACATCACACATATATGCACATGCTTACATGCATGCACACACCCATTTAACAGCCTCAGCTAAGAGTCATCTAAATGTTTTAACTGATAGGAATCTACTTTTATGAGGCATTCTTATTAAGTAATTAATTTGTATCAGTATCTTTTTTAAAAATATTTTTTCTTTATAGATTTTAGAGATAGAGGAAGGGAGGAGGAGAGAGAAACATCGATGAGAGAAAACACTGATTAGCCGCCTCCTGCATGCACCTCACTGGGGACTGGGCCCACAACCTGGGCATGTGCCCTGACCAAGAATCCAACTGGCAAATTCTTGATACATGGGTCGACACTCAACCATACTGGCCTGGCTCTATTAGTAGTTTTTCATGAATATTTGCCAGTCTTAAAAAAAAATGAACTAAGAGAAAATTTAGGTTCCTATTTGTGATGGCTATGTCTGATTACATATATAAAACTCATAAGTTTCAAAAAAAGTGTGATATAAACAGTTTAGCTCTGCCAGTCATAAAATGTGAAGAAATATATTCCATTGAAGCTTTTATTAATTTCTTACGTAGCTGTGACTGTTTATATGGAAAAATCAATAACCTTCAATTAAATATGTTAAGTAAGAATCCATCATAGGTGGCTAAGTTTCAAGACCCAGCCTTTAATTTCTACAAATAAAGGAGAAAAAAAAGCTCAGGGTACAGATGTGTGAAGAGTAAGCTCCTAAAACATACACCTGTGTTGTATGAGATCTACATTTACTTTTTACAACTTATCTTTTGTCAATTTCCCAGACTGTTCAATCTGTTCAAGTGCTAAGATTTATTTCTAAGTTGTGTGTGTATATATGTATGTGTGTGTATGTGTGTGTGTGTGTGTGTGTGTGTGTGTGTGTGTGTGTATATATATATTAAAATTGTTGTGGTTAATGTATTAAGTATTCTGTCAAGAGGTCCAATGATTTAAAAGATAATGGAAATGTTGCTGTGTCTGACTGTCTTGCTGTTGATTTCATTTTTTGCAAGTTAATAAAGATTCCTGCTGACAAACTTTCCCCTGCAATTATTGAATACGGCCTGTCATCCTTGGTAAAAGACATTGACATCCATTTTAAAAATTAAGTAAGTATGTAGCTTTTATTGTATGTTCAAGTACAGATTAATAATCCAAGACATAAATACACAATTTTAAATATGTGGTTAAGTGTTTAACTCATACTTTTAGCACCAATTATTAGATGTTCAGCTTTGTTTAAATTCAGTAAATTAGACAGAAAATAGCAATCCCTAACATCACAGTTATGTGAATTAAGCAATGATATATGATGGCTTGGAAAATGCTGGTTTTAGAGACAGTAAATGATAACTATTAATAATTAAAGGATAGTTCAACGAGATCTTGAAAACAGCAGTTTAGAAATGTATTAATAACTTGATAACATATAAGGGGCCAGAATGAACATTATAAAGCAAATTTTTGATTGGTAGTAATAAGGAATTGATATATTATTGAAAACTATTACATTTATAGAAAACCATATGCAATATAAAAAGTGTACAAATTCTATTCTCTGCCTTCTGACTGTGGTGTGGGTACCTCCGGGTACTTGCTCAGTCTTTGAGCTTTGAAGAAGTCAAATGAACTGTGATAATCAGTTATATTTTATAATCAAAGCTTAAAGCAATTCAAAGCAATTTCTACTCGGGATTAAAAACAGATTTAAATGATATTAGCTGAATTTTCTCAGAAAATGATATTAAGAATTATCTGACATTGATCATTTAGTCCATAGCTTTGTAACCTTCACTTTAAGTACCATGTACTTCTTAGGGAGGATGGTAACTTGACACTGAAAAGATCACTTCCCAAGAGCTACTGACCAGAAGCAGTCTGAAACAGTCCTGGTGAGTTCACCATGCAGGGAGATTCCATCGCTCTAAATAGGATTACTTAGTTTATGACATGGCTGCATTTAAATCTTTATTTTGCAAAACTCAAAACTAAATCATAAGAAGAGAGTGGTAACCTAACTAAAATAAGTCTTAAAGTGGGTTTAAATAACTTCATTTTTACTTGTCAGCAATGATATATACAGTGGTGGACAAAAGTAGGTTTACAGTTGTAATACAAATAAATAATACAATAAATACATAATAATACAAAAGTACACTGTTATCGGTATTCACAACTATAAATCTACTTGTGCCCACCCCAGTATATATAGTATCTTTATTCTTAAAAAAGTGAAAGTTGACATCTTTTAAACTGTTGAAGAAAGAAAATCTCCAAATTAATAGTGACACCAAGTCATGAGTAGACCCCCTTTGACTCTCCAGCAAAATGTAGTTGCTATGTTATCGTCATTACTTATTTTGCATTTTATTTAAACTGTATATTGTGGAATAAAATGATATTTTTTTCTGGATCACTGGTGTGTCAATCTATGTAATGAGACATATTTATAAATGGAATATTTATCACAAATTTAGAACTGAAGGCATGATTCCATGATTTATACAGAGAATAACACAATGATAATTAAAAGTGAACTGAACTGCCCTGGCCAGTTTGGCTCAGCAGTTAGAGCATCGGCCTGAGGACCAGAGAGTCCTGGGTTTGGTTCCCACTAACGGCACGTACCTCGGTTGCAGTTTGTCCCCAGCCCCGGTTGGGGTCGTGTGGGTGGCAACCACTCGTTGTGTTCTTCTCACATCGATGTTTCTCTCTCTATCTTCCTCCCACTCTCCCTCCCACTCTATCTGAAGATAAATGCAATAAATGTCCTCGAGTGAGGATAAAAATAATAATAATAAAAAGTGAACTGAATTCTTGGAACATGATTACCTGTCAAATATCTCACTATAAGTAAAATTAACCAAAGCCCTGAAAGCTCAAACATCTTACTGTAAAAAGGATTATTGATCATTCAAAATTTTGCTACTTTAACAATTTAATGCCAATAGAAAAAAATTTAAATGGAGAATAAAATAGTTTCCAATTCTTCCAAAAATTCTTGCTTTGCATTCACATTTTAGGAACATTCTGAATGTTGGCTGCATTTTAAACTAACAAAATCACTGAAATACCAGCTTCTATTTCTTTACAAAAAAGATTAAAACTGATGAATTTTTTTAAAAGTTAAAAACCCTCATACTAGAGTTAAAAACCCTTCTTATGTTCTACTACAGATATATTTTCATGTAATTTCATTTAATCTTTTAATGAAAATATAGCTTACATTCATAATATAGTCAAAAGATAAGGATGTGTGCTGAAGACAATATTTCAGCTATAACTGCAATTAGTGCAATAGTAACATAAACAATTTATCTCTCTTAGCCTGTAAGGTGTAATTAATATGGCAATTTTATTTTAAAAAGAGTGTTTTGGAAGTTTGAATTTTTCACTCTACTTTCTATAAGCTGAATGACGTGTCTCACATGGAATAAATTATGCTTTTAAAAGCATATATTTATTTACCTAAACAATATTTATTGAACATAACTCATTTTCTTCAGATCAATTTTACTTTATATACAATGTTATTTATAAACTCTGGTATTTGTAACAGATACATCTATGCCAAAATTCAACTCATCATTACAATTAAGAAAGTATAAAACTAGAATTTATTTTTAGGGGTTAAAGTAAAACCATACTTGTCAAGTCATTTTGTTTTTTCTTCAAAACTCAACAAGTATAACTCTGATTGAAATATGCTGGTGAGAAAAGTGAAGACATTTTAAAAGTCTATAATTTATTACAATTTTCTAATAAAAGTATTAGTTATTATAACAAATAAAGACAGATTAAAACACTTTTTTTCATGTCACATGCTTTGCTATAAATTCCTAATCTATTGGTATGGTTGATCTTTGACAAATCTACAAACAAGCAGAGATCATTTACAAATGTTGTTTTGTACCTATAAGGATTTTTCTGTACCTATTTCTTTCACAAGATTATTAAATAATCCTGTAACTTAAAAAAAAAAGAAAAGAAACACACAGAAGCTTAAGGATCTTTACTAAATCTTCCCTAACCCTTCACAGAAAAATTCCTACAGAATCACCTCCTCCAAAGAGAATGTAATTTTCTGGGAAACTCTTTTGATTTTAATCAAAATCAATTTTAACTTGCTTTAAAATATAATCACTAATATAGATATAGGTACTTTACAATCATTAAAAGTTAAAATTTAAACTTTCATAAATACATTTAAAATATTATTTATGAATCGACAATCATACAAAGATGTTGTTCTGATGTTCAAATTCCTTAAATATGTCACGATTCTATCTATGCATCTAGAAATTAACATGAATTTGAAATTTCAAATAGGCAAAAGAATAATCCATACATTATATTGTTAAACTTTCCAATATTTTCAAATATTTTAGGTGAAATATGGGAGTTAAATAAAAATGTATAGATTATTAAATATATTAAGGTAAAAATATTTGACTTGATTTTATAACACGGCTAGCTAGTACATGCATCAAAAGTGATTCATGATAATATCTGGACAGAATAATTAAGCTTGTCTAGTTAACTACAATATGCTATCATACTGTATGAATAGAAAAATGCCTCTTGCTTCCTTACTGCATATCAATACTGTGAGAATTCGGC